GTTTTAGAGAAGTTAGCATGGTGATAACCTAATTCTATCTATCGTTAAGAAGTCGCTATTATGCTAACTTCTCTAAACCAAAAAAGAATTTGTATTATTTTTAATATTGAGTCTTACAACCCTAATAAAACTTTCTATATACTTCTTTTTTGTTTATTCGTAGTAGTTTTCTTTTTTTTAAACTGTATAAATAATGTAAAATTAATTTGATTTAAACTGCCAATCATACGAATGTCTGCCTATGAGGTTTGACGTAAATTATGGATGCCTCGATCACTACTACGTATGTAAAATTACCAAGATGCTGATCATAACTTTTTAGGGTCACTTCCAGGTTTTCAAGAAAAAAGCCTGGTTAGGAACTAGTTTATAACTTACCACTCTTTATTACAGCATAAAAAAACATTCACTAAGCCAGCCAATCAAAATACCTCAATTAGCGAACCTTAAATTATGACAATTTAAACGTTATTTCATTTGAAAATATCATGTGATTATCAGTCCTCTGTGGACCACTTAACATCTCTAATACTGTAATAGAAAGATTATGTCACAAACCAGACACGCTAAGATCAAAATTTTTTTAGTATATATAAAGAGTTCACCCATGTTATAAAAACTACTTATATACTTACACTGTATTGCATTTATAATAAAAGTTTTGATAAATCGAAAGATAGATAGATATATTTAAAGCTGAAGCATAATAAACGATCGATAATATTTTAGAAGGTCGGTTGTAAAATATTAAACTTGTCACTTTGATGAAAGTTCTATAAACGTTGGTCACATTATAAAAGACAGATGAAACATTTGATCAAAGTATGAAAAAAGTTATGTGATTATGATGATTTTTATATGCATGCAATGTTTTTTTCCATACGTTAAATAGTATTTTTTGCAATTTCTATTTGTATGAAACACGAGTACATATAATAACTCAAAATTTGCTTATTAAACCACTCTTTGAGTTCTAACAAAAAAAAAAAAAAAATTATACGTAAAATTTTAGTATAAACTACCTCTAACCCTAGCTAATCTATCTTAACTTTAATTTAATTTGATTTTTCTTTAAATTTTGTATTAATGTTTTTATAAATAATACCCGTGTTTCATACACTGGTATAAATTAATAAATTTTCTTTTTTTTAAAAAAAAAAGAATATTAAATTTCAAATACAGCATGGTTTTTATCTCCTTCTCTATACTTAGGTTTACTATTTCCCATAAATAAGGTTAAAATAAACATTAATGAACTATAAAGTATTATAAAATAAAAAGTGAGTTGAAATGCTAATACATAAGCGTGAATAACTGAAGACTGATCTTCAGGTGATAATAATCTTATAGTATATACAGAATTTGTTGAAAAAGTTGGAGGTAAAGTTAATGTACTTAATGCTTGTGAAAGCTTATTATTATATATTGTTTGGGATATTGCAATTCCAAAAACAGCTCCAACTAAAGAGAAAAATATAGATAATGAATTAGTAAACCAATTTTGCAGGAAATAAATAAATATAACATATACATATATATATTTGAGTACTTACTACTTCTAAAGAATAATGTTAAAGTAGTAGCAGAAGCTATATCCTTTTGTTCAACCAATCCTTGAACGCATAATATAAGAGATTGGATACTTATACCAATTCCAGCACCACCAATTAACATATATCCTAAATATTCACCATATCCAGTGTTTTCATTCCACATAGTGGTTAAACCAGCACCGATTATTGCTAATGAAGCAGCAACTAAAGTTACAAATCGATACGATACTTTATCAGTTCGAGAGAAAAATTGACCGGATAGGATTGAAAATACTACTACTCCAATAATGTAGGGTATGAACTTTATTCCGGATAGTGTGGCTATTTAAAAAGAAACATTTAAAAAGCGAAATGTTAATTTTATTTGATATTTAGTAAAGGAATATGAGCTTTGATCGATAAAGAGACTTGCCTGAATCTCCTTTTACAACTTGAAAGTAAAGAGGAACATAAAAAATAAAACTAAAGAATACCATTCCTTGGAAAAAGGATGTTAAGAAACATGAAACTACATTAAGATTTTTAAATAAATGTGCTATTTAAAAATAATTATAACAGATTAGTTATAAATAGTAACACTTGACAAATACCGAAATAATGATAAACCAAGCTATAAGTACTTACGTGGAGCAACAGGCTCACTAGCGACGTAAATTTCAACAAGACCAAATATTATGTAACCAACAACGCCAGCACATAAAAGCGCTATGATCACAGGACTATTCCAAGCATAAGTACTACCTCCCCAATTAAGAGGTAATAAGAGACAAACAGTCGCTGCAATCATTATAATAATGCCAAGAAAATCTATTCTTTTAAATTTTCCGAGTAATGAACCAGTTTGTCTTTTCATGTGAAGAAAAACAATTACAGCGAGTATTGTTATTGCACCTAGTGGAAGATTGATGAAGAAACACCATCTATTTTGGAAAATAATGTTAGTTTAATGTTTTTACATCAATAAGACTTTTGACTCAGGTTCCACACTGTAATATAAAATTTTACATACCTCCAACTAACGTGATCAGTAAAAGCACCACCTATGAGAGGTCCAGCCACGGAAGCAATTCCGAAGCATGCGCCAATAAGACCTTGATATTTTCCCTGATCTTTAGCACTGACAATGTCAGTAATAATAATCGTAACAAGTCTATAAAAGAAATTTTTTAGCATGTATAAAAATTTGATATGAATTAAAAATTAATATTGCGATAAAGTTACGTACCCAATGATACCACCACCTCCAATACCAGCGATTGCACGGTATATTATCATTGAAACCTAAATATATAATTAAGAATTGTTAATATTACATGTATTTTAAGAAATTTGAAAGAAAAAATGACAATTACCATACTATTAGCAACACCACATAATAAACTGCCAAATTCAAAAATAATAATTGTAAACAAGAATGTTGCTTTACGACCAAAAATATCGGCTAATGATCCATAGATTGGTTGAAATGAAGTCTATGTCAATAACGTGAGTCACGTGAGTCACACATGATATATAATTCAAACGAAGAGACAAATATATATATTAAAATCTTGTAATTACCGATGTGAGTAGATAAGAAGTTGCCACCCATGATAATTGATCCAACCCATTAAAATCGGAAGCTATTTTGGGCAAAGCGGTAGAGACTATTGTTTGATCTAATGCGGCTAAAAATATAGCAAAACCTAGACTATTATAATAAAAACTAATTAATATAACTGGCGATAGATAGTATGAGCATGTGGGATAACTGCAAGGAATTAATAGCTACGAACCCAAGAGTAACCAAAAATAATTCAACTCCATGCAATAAGCCATCATTTTCGACCGTTTGAGCTTCCTGATCATTGATATTTTTTACAGATATTATATTTGCATCTTCTACTAACGTTGGTTGAGAATCAATATCTAATTCAGTATGTGGGGTGGATTGATTTTGTAACATTTTTTTTTTTTTGCACTTGTTAATAATTAGCAAGTTAAAAAACAAGCTAAAGAAAAATTATATCGTCCGACATCTTGATCCTTTTATATTTTTTTTTCCTAGAGAAAAAACTAATTGCGGCATTCGGTATTGGTGTTTAGCAGTCGTGCGGATAAATTTTACCGTTAGTAATTTAATAAATATGTATATAAAGTGATGTTCTTACAGATAGTCCCAAAATTTCCAAAATTTCCGTTTAAAACATAGTTCGTCATAATCTGTTGAATATTTTACCTAAAGGGAAATCCATTTTTACGGTAATGCATCATTATGCCGTTTCCAATTTTTCTTTCTTAAATAAGAATGTATCGCAACTTTTGTGTAATTAATAACGATCATATTATGAATATCAGTATTGTCCAACAAATAGTAAAAATCATTTACAAGCTCATTAATCTGAGCACCAACTAGTGCCAACCAAAAATTTGACAGTCAAATACTTGTGATTAAGTCGGAGATCAAATGATATTCTGTTTTGGTTAACCTGCTATCGTTTGATGTCAGATTTAGTCACAAGTATTTGATTGTCAAATTTTTGTTTGATTGTGCCGACACTAGCACCAACAAAGCTAATTTAAAAGATAAGTTGAAGAACTGGGATCTTGTAATTGAAATAAAGAGATATGGCATTCGATTCTACTTGAACTTTCTAGATGCTACACCAAATTATCACGACAAATCCTTAAATCTCAATTTTGAAAACAAAAATTTAGGTTGGGAATTATTCAATATATTACTAATGGATCGCAGCAGTCTATTAAGTGAAAATACTCTTTCGGGTAAATTTTGATTTTATCATCTACAGTACGGGACAGCTAAAGATATCCACTTTTTATATATAAAATATAAAAATGCTTATAACTCAGAAATAAGTAGCTTTTATAAAAACTGCCTTACAAATTTGTTGCTTTTAGTCTAAACTACAATTCTGTAAAAATAAATTTTTATTTTTATTATAAAATTAAAAGTTTTTAGAATTTAAATTTTATATATATGTAATCAAAAATTTGGCATTTAGTATAAAAAAAATGGTTATATATATTTTTAACCAATCAAAATTCATTACACAAAAGTTAGCCAATTATATTTGATTATGTAATCCCAAATTTGGCGTTTTTTTTTAAAAAAATGGATATCTTTAACTGTCCCGTACTGTAAGAAAGCCTATTTCCAAAAATCTCTATTTACTACTACAGTATATTGCAAAGCCTATTTCTTAAAATATTCTATTTTTGGAAGTAAAAATATCCTATTTTTGGAAATAATATTTTATTTCCCGGCTAAAATACGGCATGCAGGCAGATCATGACATCTTTAGTGTACTTTGTTTCTTCAAAAACATTACAATTTGCAATAGAGTTTGGCCTATTTAAGCAAATAGAATTAGGAATGTTAAGTGGTTCACGAGGAACTAGTTCAGCTGAGTCTGAACCGGACTTTTAGGGACTAGTTCAGAACTACAGTCAGGGATTATTGAAATATGGAAATGATCTGCAAATATATTAGAAGGGTATTCTAAACCCGATTTCAATTGAAAAAACAAAAGCATTTTTTATTATCTAAAAATAACCATCAGTTTTAAAAAATCCTTTGAAATTAAAGTATTCCAAGACGATGTAGTTTAGGAATCCCTGGGGATCCCTGAGGCTTTATAAAGCCGTTATGTAATAAATAACAAAAGTGTCAATAATTTGGCCAAATTTTGTACTACAGAATTGCAGATCTTTGCCAAAAAACGGAATGATCTGCGTTACACAACTTTCAACAATCCCTGACTGAACTAATATGAAAACTAGTCCATAATCTTGTGATCTCAAGGTCTAATTGGCTAATTTACGTCGATCTAAATGTGATTGTCCGGAGCGTAGCGGAGGACCCTAAAGTAAATTACTTTCCTGATGCGCTTCAATTGTAAAAATCTTCACAAATTTTACTTTTTTGATATACGTGCATATATATAATGTAAATCTTATCAGAAATAAAATTTAGAAATTTTTCGTCTGTCCGCACGCGTGTCTAAATTTGTGCTTTAATGTTACCAACATATGCATACTAACGCGTTTGTGTAATATGATGAACATCATATGATGGGTTCCAGACATATAATGCATTATGAAAAATCGTATTTTCGGCAAACATTTCGGCATTACTAAATTTTTTCTATGAAACCCTTCGAAATAGCTATATTATATGTGTGCGAATCTGCAACTGCATATAATGATTTACTATGATAAGTTTCAGGTTTTCTCTCACGCACTCGTATGATGTATTTTGATGAAAGAGTTCGGCAATAATATCGGCAAATATGAAAACTAATTTCGGCACTATATAAGACTCGGTTGCCTAAATGCCGTATTATTTTTCCATGTAATTACAATTAAAACACAATACTTGTTCACTATAGTTCTATACGTTAAACTACATTGTGAACTCGTCCCTAAACTAGTTCGGACCCAGACTTTTTAGGGACCGGACCAGTTAATATCCCTAACTAGAATGCTTTGTGTTTTACCGGGAATTGTAAGGAACCGAGAATGGAAAATTAGACCGTGAACTAGTACAAAAGCTAAGTACCAGTTCTAAACTCTACTAAAGCTTGATCAACAGCACATTTAACCGACATCACACCAAGCGACAATTTACTAAAAATATATGCCTGCAACTAATAAAACGCTAACGCTAACCCCAGTGTTGGGCTGGACATTGGACCACCTTGTCCAGCCCATTGGACCAAAAAGCATTGGACATTGGACATTGTGTTATATATAAATCATGTAACAATTAGCCAATCAAAATCTTCACAGTATCATATACCGATCATGTCGAAATCAATAACTTAATCGAATCGGCCGACTAATTTTTATAAGGTGTCTCCCAGGAATTATGAAAACAGCTGTAACCGGATATCAATAGTAAACGGATATCCAAATAAATTCAGATCGGATACTGGATAACGGATGTCCGATAATTATCCAGATAATTAATTGCAACTCTAAACGTCATACTAAACAACGCCAACAATAATACAGGTTATTTTTTTTATTTATCATTCGGCCAATTATAGATTAAGCCGAAACGGTTTCTATCGCACTTCTGTTTTATAATTGACGCTAATGCATATTAAAAAGTATTAAAGCGCGTGCTACGCATAGAGGTCTATAATCTAATATAGATTGCGTGATAGATAATAAAAATCCTTGATGTTGCTCATACTTTATAACTATTTTTGTTAGAGATTCATAGTTCGAAAATACCGATATTAAATTTTAGCCAATCATAGTAATCACATCGACTGATTTTGTTTTGACCTCAAACCCAACCAATTGAGGATTTTCAAAAATTTTTACGCTTAAAATTATTATAAAATGAATTTATGAGATTTACGTGTTTTATTATAGTCCAAAAGTAGGTTAAAAGAACATTTTTAAAAAAATTTCACCCTTGGTAGTTACCAACCAATCAAACAAATCCTAAGATACCCGAATATATCAACAAAGAGTAAAAATACATCTTTCTACAACTTAGCATAGCTGTTTTATTCAATTATTTTTTATTATTATTTTTTTTTATATCTTGTCTAGGCGCTAAAAAAGCACTTTTATTAGTTGTACGAGTGCTTCGTTTGTTACTTTTTCGGCGTTACTTAGAAGCAAAAAAATTGTATAACTTTGGTCAAAAGTCCTGATAATCAATAATGCAGGCATTTCTCAGAGTAATGACTACTTACGGCATTACAGCTATGACGTAAAGGTCGTACTACCCCGAGGTTATATTGCCGTGAGTGATGTAGTATGTGAAAAATTCGCTGGCCAATCAAATTTCACCAATAGTGATGAAATTATTTCACTACCCTAATTTTATTTTATACATGACCAAATCTTTTGCCAGTTTATTTAACGTTAGATACCGTGTAAACGTGAAATAACGCCCACCTGCGCGTTATTTCGAATACATCCATGTGCGTTATTTCGAAATAAGAGTAGTTTTCCTAAATCCACTACAGTCAACCTTCCATAACTGCACGCTTTTGGATAAAAGTGCATTTATAGATTATTCATTTATAGATTATAATCTACATATAACAGTATAACGATAATATTATTAAATAATTACCGTTACATTAAACCAATCAAATTTTATACACTTATCATTATATGGAAAGTGCATGTGAAGTGCAATTCCAGAAAGTGCACATATGGAGTGTCGACTATATCATTTATTGCAACAATAAATTATGTGCTACATTAGGATGCGCATTATTTCGGAATGCCCATAGCGCTAATGTCGAGAACATATAAGTTATTTTTGGAAGATCCGATTTGTACTAATAATATTTTCATTTTTACTTGTTGGAATCATCTGCCAAACACCATGCTTTAAATGTGTTGTCTTTATTACAATGTATATTTTTTGCCGTATTTAGGTTACCATTTTAATCATTGTCAAATATTATATATATATATTATATCATTAAAAATTTATTGTAATACTCACTGACCGAATAGAATGGTAATCTGAAGGGTATTAGTTAGGATTAAATAAGTGTTTGTAAACATGAATCACTTTTTTAATCCACCGATTGATAGATCATCTTTATATTCGCCCACTAAATTAAGGTGAATGACGGCATGCGGTATTAATACGGCAAACAACACATATACGGCATACGGCATTTATATGGCTTGCGGTACTTCTATTTATACGACAAATATACCGTATTGCCGTGATTGTTGGGGTAGCTACTCCAAAATTCCAAATGTCTGTACCTCTAATAATCAATTAGAGCCGACTAGCTGATTGGTTGGGGTGTATCATGCAAGCCTATTTACAAACACAGTGAAAATCATTTTTATAGATCTGCACTACAGCACTATTGTGAATATGCTTGCATGATACACCCCACTGATTGGCCCTCCATAAGTGCTAATCGGTTTAATACGTATAATTCATTAATATTAAAC